CTCAATTTGTTAATGTTTGACAAGAAACATACATCTTAAGATAATGTTTCGAACTATGACAGATTTATAAAACAAACTACTGCTGTACTCAGTGCATCTTGGGTAAAATCTCTTTGGATATCTCTAAGAAAAATTGGTGATTTATTCTGAAGAAATATATGACCACTAGCCTTACAAAATTCTATTTTCTAAAGAATTTCATTATTTTATGCTTGAAACCCTACCATGTAACATATTTAAAACTATTAATTATAGTGTCAAGTATAGATCTGGAGGATCTTCATGATTATTAATAGAATTTTGAAACCTTTGTAAAGTCTGAAATAATTCTTGTTTGACAGTTAAGGCAGTCAGCTTTTTGGTTGTGTTTCATCTCAACATTTTAGCTATGTGGCTTCTAATGGTTCAATATTTTAGAATATATGTACACCATAACTTATTTTCATGATACTCATGTTTATTGTATGCTTTTAGGGCAGAACTATATTAACTTATTTCACATGTCTGGCATGTGGCTCCAAACATCCAACTGAAATCTCTGTAATACCTTCAGGTTGTCCCTGTGTGGTGTGTTCTGGTGACTTCTTGTTTTGATATTGTGGTACTCTCAGCATTATTTTTGTGACCATTGTCCTTTTCTTTAAAACATCTTGATTGAGATTGCACTTACACTGTTGCAATAGGCAAATTTAGGTGAAGTGTTCCAAAGTTACCAAAGATGATTTTTCCTCCAAAAATTTGATGATGACCAGTATCTGGGGCAACATGTTCTCTTTATCCCTGCACCATGAATGAATTGGAACTTTTTGTTTATTTCGTACGTTTATTCTGCTGAATATTGTATAGTTCCCACTGGTTCTTGTAGTGGCCACTATCTGTACCACCAAAGATTTTGTAGAAAATTGTGGTGGCCCCTCCCCTCTCATTTCTCTTTCAGTATTTTCCTTTTTTTTTTTTTTTTCTCTTTTCCATTCACAATAATTCTTATCATTCAGGTTTGCTTTCACAACTACTAAGCTGATGTCATTGCAGACCTGCTTTCTAAGACTCCTAAATCTTACTTCTGAGGGGTGCTGATGATGTCAGAACACACTACTTTTTATCTAATGTGAGTGCTTTTTTCGCGTGTGTATCACTGTACATGCAATGACACTGAATTTCCTCTACCATTTCCCCACCTGGTTAGTAAGCTTGTGAGGTTCTCCGGCATTAACTTGGTAACACCTGAAGAGCAGCTTTGGGCCAAGGGCAGCTTGTTGTAACATGAGGCACTAGTGATATCCTTCTGCTGGGGAAACTAGTTAGTTCCTGTTTCTCACCTTTTAGGCAATCACTTATCTCTATAAGGACATCTTCCTTGTTCCAGAGAAACTTAGTTTTTCCAATATCCTTTCGTGATGGACCTTTCTGAATTCCCATTGTGATGTGTCGTAACAACACCCCTCTAGTCCTCTACTACCACTTGGGTTTTTCTCTCAGAAATAATGACACAATAACATGAAGTCGTTATCAACATTTGGGAGTTCGATTCTTGAGCTTCTCCAGTGGAGGAGATTTTGATGTTGAGACATGTTTGTACTGCTGCATTTTAGGGAGGACAGAACTCTGATTATTTAAATATCCTTTGAAGGTTAGTCACGATATAAAGCACAGTTCAAAGTTAAATTCTCTTAGCCTCTGACGGCTCACGCTCATCCTTATTTTAAGTCTGCTATGTGTGCAACCAAAGGTAAAGGACAATGGGTACAACACTTAAAATACTTCCCTGCTATTCTAGCATAAGAGAAATGAAAGAAATTTTTAGAGACATGGTGGTTTTGCTTACTTGTATGGGGTTTTTTAAATTCTAATTTAATTCTGTGTGGTCTCAAAATAATTCAATGGAACAAAAGGCTAGATTATAAAAATAGTTGCAGTTCCCCCTAGGAAATTAAAACACTGGAAAAAAAAATGCCATGAGTTCAAAGAAAGCTTCTCCCCTTCTCCATTAAAATCACCGGATAAGTTAGCTATGAATCTATTACATTAACCTACTCAGTAGTGAAAGCAAAGCATGCTCTTTATTTAACTTAATACTACATAATAAATTTAGGAATTCAATATAGTGTAGAAACCTTTCACGTTACTGTAGAATATATATTTAAACTTGAAGGCACTCTTCCAGTATGTGTGAAAGAACGGCTGCTTCTGTGGGAAAGCACTATGGAAAGACAGGCATTCTGAAAATAGCAGTTTGCTTTTGTAGGAAAATACCTTGTCTTTGAAACAAATAAAAACGTCCAGTAATAATGAAGTAAGATATTGCAATGGAGGAACAACTTGCTTACCTTTCACCCTCTAGAGCTGACCTAAACAGCATATGCACTGAATGACCAAATATTTGCTTTTACCAAAGCAGAATTGTCCTGTTGTAACCTTCACCAGAGAGGAACACTGAAAAACTACTGTTTTTTTGACATAACCTCATAATGTTGGCTTTAGCCCAGTAAGAGTATAGCTCATTAGGAGTAGAAACTTCTTTCTGTCTTTCTTTGTGGAGAATTGGCAGGACCATGTAAAGAAACTGTTCTGGGTTGACCATGCCTGGCTTCCAGAATCCCACCCCAGCTGCTCTATCACTCCTTCTCCTCAACAGGACAGGGGGAGAAAATAAGATGAAAAAGCTCATGGGCCAAGATAGGGACCAGGCAAAACAGACTCAAATTAGAGAAGATTAATTTAATTTATTGACAATTAAAAATAAAGTGGTATGGTAAGAAACAAAAAAAACCTAAAACCACCTTCCCCTCACCCCACACATCTCAGTCTTAACTTCACTCCTCCATGCCAAACTTTTATACTTTCAGAGTTATATTCAAAAATAAGTTGGTTTAGGATTGCTGTTTGTTTTGATACTCCATATGATTTCATCAAGATAAACCCTTTTCAATCTAGTTAGACATCAGGAATAAAGAACATAAGCTAAAAGTTAAATAAACTGTTTAGAAATTAATTCTGCCTGTTAATAGGATATCTTTTTTGTTATTCTTACACATCCAGACAATGCAATGTTATTTTGTTCCAGTGGTTTTTTTCTTCCTGCTTTCTTGTATCACTGGTTATTTACATTTCTTCAAATAAAAAATTGATCTATTTATTAATAGAAGATAGCATTTGACTTTCAAAATATTTCTCTCAGTCTCTGTCTCTGGTAGATAAAATATAAGAAATGTACAATCAGATTTAGACATGTATATGAGTTTCCATCAAGAAGAAAATATTGAAGTTTCCAAATGTCTGGAGAGGTGTTCAAATTTAAGCAAAATGTTCGAGTCTTAAAGTTTTTATTCCATGATAATTGTTCAAAAAATTTCCAAGGCAAACTTTCTGCCCACACATGTTAATCTTCTCACCTAAGCAACAGGGGGGTGGGGGGGAAAGGGAGGGGTATTGAGGTGTTATTTGGGGTTTTTTGTCACACTAACAGCTCATACAGAACAACGGAAAGCCAAGAAAATTGGATAAAGGGGCCCCAGAAGCCGAAGAGATGGATTTCTAGAAAATTTGCTTATCACTCCACACCTTCAAAATAATAATTTCAAGGAGAGAATATTTTCTGCTAGGTCCCACTGTGACCCTGCAGTACGAAAAAATAAATGAATAGTATATAAAGTTTTTACTTTCACGAAGTAAGTTGGCTAAAAATGATATGCTACAAAACTGATGTAAATCTCATGACAAAGCTACTGCTTTAGTGAATAAACAACCCAACTTTTCTGGGAAGCAACTTTGTTTAGTGGAGACAGTCCTCCCTAGAGTGCTGGCAGCTCTTTGCTGCCTTCCAAGACTCCTTCTGAAAATTGCATAAACTCTGATGATACAGATTCCCTCTGCAGTTCAGCTGTTGATCCCTTTACCTTGTCCATGATCAAGCATACAGTATAATGTAAAATGATTGAATTAACTCACATTTTGTGTATCACATAACAAGTCAGTTGAATAAGAATTAGATAAAGCATTATATGTTACCACGAAATTTGTATTTACTTACAATACCTGATCTTTCCCATAAATGCAGTGTTATTTTTATACAATAACCTAAGAATAATTATTTTAAAATAATATTTTTGTTTCTTTTTTATATGCTGTTTTTCACTTTTCAGAATAATTTGTCAAATCATAATGTGCTTTATGTAGAGGTACAGAATCTTCTTTTTAAGGCATTGTGAAAGTTCTTGGAAAAGTCATTTCTATATGGCAGGAAGCCAAATAATTTTGGTCATTTGGTTTGCCTTTCTGAAAAACTTAGGAGAACGTGTTGATCAAAAGAGTTAATGACATTTTTTTTTCAGATTATTTTTGAAATAAGTCTTTGGTATCAGTGTAGTTCTGGGTTATTGTATAATCTATAACTCTTTTACTCTGTCAGGGATTGTTCTGGTCCTGACAGACATATGAGTCAGAACTTTTCTTAACTCCTCTGCTTTCACTGTTTAAGACAGTTGGGTTTTTTATATGTACCATTACAATAAATGGAAATTTCAGATTTGAATTCAATATGGCAAGAGGATACTGTTCTAAAAACCTTCTTTCATACTGTAGAGTTGGAGACATAGATGGAGGAATCTTTGGAGATGGCAGTGGAGACAAGTAGTTAATCTTACTGTTGGAAAGATTTTTTTAATCTTTGACTCCATTCTGCATTTAAAGCTTTGTCAGTTTCACCTTCAGATCCTTTAGTAAATGGCTTTCTAAGCTACTCTAGGCAACACAGTTGCCTGCTCCTACGGAGTGCCGGTGAGTGCACAGTATTTGGTTTTATTAGGAGCTTTCACTAGCCTCTAACCCTATGTACCTCAGCAGAGACATTTTACAGCTTTGACAATCCTTTCTGTTTCTTTTTGGATAGGAGTTAAATATGATTCTAAAACATCTCAAGGAATTTCACTAAAAACATCACCATTTCAAAAAAGCTCAGTACAACAGAAAAATCTAAATAAATTTTCCTCTTCTTGTTTTCTAGTAAGCAAGCAGTGAAGCTGGAAAAATTGGCAGCAGACTCGTTGTCTTTCCTGCTTGTATCCGTGGACCCTGGTTTGCAAGGTAAATGTTCCATTTTAATTGACTGTAATTTTATAGTATTTTAGGTTCCAATTACTAAAATAATCTTATAGTACCTCTAGGTTTTGAAGAAAATACCCTTACTTAGTGTTTCTACACTTTTAGCAGTGAATTGTCTTAGAATACTCTTATAACTTAAAATAAATGCAATAAGTTGCTTTAGATTCATTAACAAGCCCATCTCCTCTCAGAAATAAATGAAAAAGATTACAAGGTCTATATTACTTTTTAGTTTCTGGGTTATTGCTCCTATATTTCCATAAGAGTGAAAGAACAGTTAAGCTGAGCCTGAAGATTTAAATCTGAATGTGAATGCATTTATTATGTCAAGATGTATTCTCTGTATTCTATAAAATATTAAATATATATAAATATATTATGTAATAAATAAATACAAATTACACATAAATATAAAGTATAATAAATATAAAAATAATGTTTCTTGGTGATTTTGTGTTTATTAGTGATTTTATTAGAAGGGTGACTGAAGGAGATTCTTGAGATGTATCTGACTATTTTTGACAATCTTTATTGGTGTACAGTTTTTAAAATGAGAGATTCTTATTCCTACTCTTAAATATAGTTCTTAATGGTGATATTTGAAAGGTAGTCATATTAAATATTTTGAAAATTCAGTTTTCTAGAGTTTAAAAATACCATGGGGAAACTAGCTTGTTTTGATAATTTGTTACCATGGAAAACTGCTGGCTCTGCTAAGAAAAATATGTCCCTGAATAACTTCCTCAGCTTTAGTTAAGGGTCTAGGCTTAATATTACTCTTTCATTTGAGACCTTGTTCCACCCCTGAGTTTTATCTTTGAAATTGTCTTAGTTTTCTCTATAAGAGAACCTGTCTCCCTGAATCTTTCTGCCATTGAAACTGGCTCTTTTACACATGGGGAAAAAAAAGAAAAAGAAAAAAGAAAAGAAAAATAAAGGTTTTCAAAAGCTATTTTATTACAGGTTATAAAGAATTGAATCAGAAGCTATGCAAAAGCTACTCCAAATTCATGCTTTTAAATGGAGTGCTGAGCAGAATTACCCCTTCTCGACAGAAGTGCCACTATGAGCTGTATATTCAAGGTAGAAAATTGGCCCTCTTGAAAAATAAAATCAGGAGCCTTCCAGCACTAAAACGGGGGAGTGAATTTTCTACTCTTCAACATATATTTAACAATATATGAACCCCAAGGATGTGCATTTTAATGTATTGTGTTTCTTTAGTATGGAGAGAGAAAAAGGTGAATCAGCCTTTGATGTGAGTGAAACCCTGCTACAAGATGTGGGTGGTGACTGTAAAAAGAAAAGTAGCAGCATTTCCTCCTAGGCAGTTTCTCAGGGTGGAAGCCATTTGTAAATGATGAAAGAAGCTGGCTGTTGTTGCCAGCTCTCTTTCACCTACTAGATACAGTAGAAAAATTCCAGTTGTGAATAAGAGTCCAAACACAATGCTTTTCCATGCATACGGTTAGGCCTGGAACAATCAGATTGGCCAGAAAAATGTGGGTGATGTTGCATTTCGAAGAGGTGATGGTGCAGCTCCCCAGACTTTGTGTGGTGTTACATAAGTCTCATCTAGCTTGAGTTTTCAAATCCAGCAGAAGTGGAGAAAGCACTAGCAATCAGCAGTGTGATGGCTAAAACCATAATTTTACAAGAGCTTAAACACCATTTTCATGATTACATTGCATTGTGTTTAATGAAAATTGAAGCATGTACTTAAACACTTAAAGAATTGGGATATGTTTGGCTCAATGGCAGCTAAAGAAGTGACAGTGAAAACAACAAGTAAAATTTCAGAAGCTTCTATACGTGGCATAGCAGAAACATAAGCTGGTCTTTCTTCATCGTGTATCTAATGCATGATAACAGTCACAAAAAATAATATAATTTTTTAGAACAATATTAGCAAACAGCGTTTTTTTTTTCCTAAACAAATTGAATTATGACTTTTTATTCGACATAACAAGTTCTGTCTTACTGGGCTTCCTTTTGTTTGTAGCTGTAGTTAAATCTGAACGTGCCATTGATTCTGGCAAGTTATGTGTAATTTTTGGCATTGACGTTTCAATAGCAAAACATCAATATTCAATTTGGAGTTAACAATAAGTCACTGCCAGTGAGAATAGACTAATACACCTTTATGATGATGATCCTGTGTGGGGTAATGAGATGTTTTTAATCAACCAAGCGGGTAGGTTCAGAGTTGCAATTTGATCATTCTATTTTTAAACATTAAACATTAAATTATTGTGAAGTAAATTGTCTTTCATTCTGTCTTTTGTGTTAGGCCTTCTGAAAGGATTTATTAACATCTATTTGACTTGTATTCCTAACATTCTTGTTGTGAATTTGGAATGCATACTGCATCACATTTGTGGATTTGCATAAACTGATGCTGTGAAAATTTTCTCTGTACTTTGATTTCATGTTAAGGTACTAACAAAAAACATCCCAAGCCCCTGACTAGTTTTTAAGCATCTTGTAGAATGTTTCTTTCTTTATTAATCTAGATAATACTAAGTGCTAATGTAAGGCCTCCAAACCACTATAGCTTATTTATAATTTCAGAGTTTAATTATATATGTCCATACTCATGTATTTCTTTTCTAAAGAGAAAAGATACAAGTTGAAATTTTTCACATGAGAAAAACTTATATATGTTTGTGCTTGGACCATTCAAAATAAAATAAAATTAGATTAAAGGTGGTGTCCTCTAATCTAATATCCCAGTCATTTTTATATACCAGGGCCCAATTTAAGGTGATTTTGTTTCCTGGGAAAATATGAACTCACACCTGGCATTGAGGTGTAGGAATTCTTTCTAAGCACTTCATATAGTCCCTTTACTGATCATTTGGACCAGATAAACTGTAAGTGTGTTTCTTAAGACTCTGATGAACTGTTCTCCCTTTTGCCTTCAACAAATAGCCATCCTGTTATGGTGCTAAAGTGATGAGCTGTTAATTTGGGTATCTGCAGTCAACAGCCTGTATTGGTTTAAATGAGTACAAACAATATGAAGATTTTCCACTCTGTGAAAAAAAAAAAAAAAAAATTCCACAGCTGTTGCTGACGGTGTGTTTGTGTAGCTTCCTTCCCAGATGAACAAAAGTACTGTAAAAACTGAATTTTACTACCCTCAGCTAGAGCCTACCAGGGTGTCAGGTATTTTTTATACCATTAGATACAGCCAAACTTCATATGAGTGCAGCAGTTGTCTAGAAATAATCAACTGTTATTTCCAGTGCCTTCTATATTGATTCATATTTCTTGTGCTTAAAAATCTTTATTTCTTGAGTATCCTCCCTGAATTTGATGGATTAGCACCTGTATATTGAGGAAAAAAATGATCTCTTGAACCCTCCTAGAGTAGAAAAAAAATATTCTGGGTGATTGTATTTTTTTTTCCTGTAATTTAATCTGTGCATCTAGATTTTAAAAGTGCTTATTCAGAGGCATCGCACTATAATTGATTAAGATTTCCCAGTTCTATTGTTGCTATCAGGTCTGCCTGCCTGAAAATAAGTAAAGGTTATCATAATTGCTATATTTTCAAGACCACTATGTTTTCAAGACTACTGTTCTTCAGACTAAAAATGGAAATTTGAATAGTTGTGTTGAAACTACTAGAAATATGTTCAACATAGTATGTGAATAAAATCAGTACAGACCCTCAGGTTTAAACCATTTATATTAATCCATGTGCTTGACTCATCTTTGATGATTCAATCTAGTACCTTTAAAACTAACAGGTGGCTTTGGGTGCTCAGATTATACAGTCTGAAGGAATTTGATTTTCAGAAAGTTCTGACCATTCCTTCTATGAAATTCAGGTTTCTTCTGTTTCTTCGAAATTAAAAATGCACACCCATAAAAATCACTTAGAGAAATCTTTGCTTACACTGAAGCTCCAAGACATGCTGATCCTTAAAACTGCCAGAATAAATTAAAATAATAAATTTCAGTCTTCTGAGATGTTATCTTGAGCTCCTATGTATGCAATGGTTTATATATTTTGAGTTATAATTAGACTTTAAATATGTGTTAGGAATTATTTGGAAGTTTAAGTTCACTAAATATCAGACTGTTTTCCAGATGAAGTTCTGGGGCAGGGACAGTAGGCATCCATACTCCAATATAATGATTGATGTTTAAAATTGATGTACAGCAAACAAGTCACTACAAAAGAGATCTTGAGTGCTGGATCGAGTGCAGAGGAGGGCAACGAAGCTGCTGAAGGGCCTGGAGAACAAATCCTGTGAGGATCGATGGAAGGAGCTGGGACTGTTTAGTGTGAGGAAGAGAAGGCTGAGGGGAGACCTCATCACTCTCTACAGCTCCCTGAAAGGACATTGTAGAGAGGTTGGTGCTGGTCTCTTCTCACAGGTGATTAGGGACAGAACAAGGGGGAATGGCTTTAAACTGCAACATGGGAGGTTCAGGCTGGACATTAAGAAAAAAAATTTCACAGAAAGAGTAGTGGAGTCACTATTCCTGGATGTGTTTAAGGGTCATTTAGATGAGATGTTAGGGAATATGGTGTAGGGGAGAACTTAGTAGAATAGGGCTGATGGTTGGACTCAGTGATCCCAAGGAATGATTCTGTGTGATTCTCTGAAGACCTTCATTTAGAGAGATGTGTGGTTCATTCAATGAAGACATTCCAGTTTCTTCCCTGTCCTCCCCCAAGCATCAAGTAGCGTTCACATTTAAAAGGGGACTAGAATTACTGTTTGGAAATTATAAACCTAACCTCAGTATTCTTTACTTTTGAAATGTAAGAATATCAGTCAGAACTGAACAAAATCTTAGATAAAAAATATGCTGGGAAAAGTAAAGTTATGATTCACAATTAAAAATGGGATTTCTTTATGTGTGGAACTGTTACAAAGTTTTGTTATATGGCTACTCTGCAGCTACTTCCTATGTTTTGCAGAAGATAAAAACACCTTAAGAAAAGATCTGCTGTAGCAATGCCA